CCTGATGTATCAGTATTCAATTTCTGGAATTGAAAAGGATAGGGAACATAATTTTTTGCCTTCTGCCAAATTTATTCTTGAGACTGGCAAAAATGTCTACCTTTTTCCTGAAATCTTAAAGGACTGCATGTCTTGGCTATTTGGAATGCTGTGTTGACTCTGGACTTATAAGATTAATTATGTCTGCTTATTAGGTATTTTCACTTAAAAATGAACTTACCTATACTGTGTAGTTTTCCTCTAGAACCTTGACTGAATGTTATTTTAAACTTAATGGCTGTGAATTTTATATTTTGCAGACTATGTCTTCGGCAGTGGTACAGTTATATGCAGCAGATCGGAATTGTATGTGGTCAAAGAAGTGCAGTGGTGTTGCTTGCCTTGTTAAAGACAATCCGCAGAGATCTTATTTTTTAAGAATATTTGACATCAAGGTGAGTTTAGATTAACTTTCAGTTTAAATTGTGGGTGATTAAGTTTTGTGCCTCAACTATAATGGAATATAGGTTTCTTTAAAAAATTTTATTCTAGTATCTAATATTTAAGTCACACTTATACTGCTATTAAAAGGATAAAATTTGGTGTTAGATATTGAAGTATGGACATCGTGAATAAACGGGAATATGCCCTAAGCTGGGTAAGGAATCGCTCCCTATTTTATCTTTTCGCTGCCATCTATCATTACAGCTAGTTTTGTTTTGTTTTTTTAAATATGCCTTTGGATCTTGAGCTTTCCCCACAATCTCTCCTTTTCTAATAATGTTCCTTTATCCATCCTGTCCATTACAGGCTAGCGTACGTACTTCTGTCAGGGAACAGCAAAAGTGTATTTTAGTTTGGTATGTACTATTATTTACTTAAGCTCAGGTTTAAAGCATTATACAATATCTATACTAATGTATTTGCTACCTGTTTTTCTATATGTTGTTTCTCAACAAGGTACATTCAAATTTTTACAGCTCTGTATCCCTCGCTCTCAATTATAAATCAATCGTGGCCTAGTTTGTATGCCTTTTGTCAGTGATTCATCTCTTACAGTTACCACAAAAGTAATTACCATTTGCCAAGATGAAGTGTCCATTATTTCTTTTAAAACTTTTTTCATAGGTAAGCCTCTGCAGTTAATACTTAAACGTGGCAATATGATTCATGCACATACACACATCCATACCCTTGGCTTTAAACTCCTGGGCTCTATTTACTATCTGAACATAATCAAGCTTTTTTTTTTTTTTCACATCTCTGAGCCTCAGCTTCTTTATCTGTAAAACGGGATAACTTTCTGGGTCTGTAGAAAGTATTTCACTAGAGTTAAATGAGACAAGTTACTGAACTTTGTAAATTAGTGCTTCTTAACATCTACTACCCACTACCCCCAAGACAGCTGAGAAATGTGACATGTTCCTGTTCCCAATGGTGGCTTACTATGGCAGTGATTCTGGTGAATGGGGAGTACATGCAGAGATTGAAAGAGATCCCTAAGCTCTTTGATGTATTTCCCATTACCAATGAGAAACACTGTTTAGAAATGGAATTCACGTACAGCTCCATTGAGAAGAAGGGACTCCATTACAATGGTCATAATGTGTATACATGGTACATTTTAAATATTTTTAAATTATGATCTGGTTAGAATCTTGCCTTTCAGAATAGGGCTATGATTATGCTTCCCCAATCACTCATTTCCAAGTGTAGGTAACCATTGTGGAATACTCATTATTAGCCACCTCGGACATTAAGGTTTAATATTTTTCTCATACTACAGCTGTAGATATCATCCATGGCTCTCTTATCCATAGTTTAACCATGATGGGCCC